GACTTATTTAAAAGGGGTGGGGACCAGACCGGCGTCGAAAACTACAACCACTGCGAGAAGAGAGCGCAGCCCAAGCTCCTCCTCCGTCCGCAACCGCCTCTCAACTGAAAGCCGTTGTCCGAGCGGGCACCAGCCAACCGGAACGCGCTCTGGGATCACGTGGTGACGAGGGGCCAATCGCGCCCAGCGTTCTCGCCACGCGGCCCGCCTCTCAGAGGAGGCGTGACTCACCAGGCCCGGCCCCGCCTCCGCCCCAGCGGACCCGCCCCCAGAGGCTCCGCCCCCAGCCGGCGCGCGGCGGACCCGGGCTTCCATTCACCGCGCGCCGCCCGTAGCTTTGCGGTCCTGCGGGAAGCGAAGCCAAGTCCTCCGTCCCTGGGCTCTACGAAGCCCCCGTTGGTGAAAAACCCAGTCGGCTAGCAAGTCGGATTCACCGGGTCTGACAGCTCATTTGATGTGTTGCTCGGGAGTGCGCTTAGCTTACCCGCATTTGGTGACCGTGTTTGAATCTAAATGCGCCTCCTCTGCCACCCAACAGTGTTAGTGTTCGCCGGCAGCTCGCCATAGCCACCCCTGGGGCCGTGGTCCAGCTCTCAGAGCAGCGATGACTGTGTGTCCTGAATGAGCCTCGAGGACACGTCACCCTGCCACTTCCTCATCAGTGAGAGAGGACCCAGCTAGTCCCTCCCAGCTCGGGAACGCGGGGAATCACCAAGTCGCTTTCCCACGGCAGGAGGCCCCAGATTTTCTCTCTTTTTTTTGGTAATATTTTCAATTTACCTTTTTTCTTTGACAAAATCTGCAAACTCAGAACACCAATCCATCAACCAACTTGTCATTCGGAAAATTCTGAAAGCATCGTTTTCTTTTCTTTTTTTAACATTTGTCCATTCTTGCACAAAACAATTCTAAAACAGAAAGGAATGACTATTTTTGAACACATCCTCTGAAAGTGAGTGTAAATGCATGAAGCTGATGTAGTTAGTCGTTTCACAAGGCTTCAGTTTCAGTTTCCGGAACACTCCCAGGCTCATTGAACTCGGTTTTTTGGTATAAAGGCTGTATAATGATGGGCAGGAAGTGGGAACAAGGATGATTAGCCTTTCTTAGTTCTTAAGGCACATGTGCTCCCAACCCTCACAATAATACCAAGTTCTGCTAGTTTTATCCTCACGTTAATCCAGAACTAACCAGGGCAGCCCAGACTAGATGGTGTCACCCAGGCACAAGCAGCTTCCGCCAGGCACACGCTGTCTGTAAGCTTCAAATTGCTTCTTCCATATTGTTTACAAAGGATAAGATTTCCATAAATTTTCTCCCTTGCTAGAAAACGTTGTCTTCCATCTACTTTTAAAATATTTTATGTTGATTTTTCCTGTTAACGCCATTACAGGTGCCCTCACTCCCCTCCCCGCTTTGCCTGCCTCCACCCAGTTCCTGCCCCTCCCCCTCCTTCCCTGCCTTACTGAAATTAGAACCATTTTTCTTGCAATAATTTAACTTATTCTCCTGCTTCTTCTGGTAGCCTTTTTGACAGCAGCCTCCTCAGATCAAGCTGATGTTAGAAACACTGTAGGAGTTTCATTAAACTTGACAGCAGGGAAAAGTTTGAAGAAGTCTTTTTAACCAAGTTTGTCCCCTAGAAACAAAGCTCATACGCTTTAGGACAATCTTTTCCTCGCGATGACCCTATTGCCCTACTGTGCAGACAAATACGTTTTTAAAAAATAATTTCAGAGAGGAAGGGGGAGAGAGAGACAGAAACATCAATGATGAGAATCATTGCTCTGCTGGCTGCCTCCTGCACACCCCCCACTGGGGACTGAGCCCACAGCCCACAGTCCGGATGTGTGCCCTTGACCAGAAATTCAGCCGCGACCTCCTGGGTCATAGGTAGATGCTCAACCACTGAGTCATGCTGGCTGGGCAAGACAAATCTGTTTTTATCTTCACAGCATAGCATCCATCTTGAAGTACCTCTAGAATTTTTCTATCAGAAGGGATTAGGACAGCAAACTGGACGGATGTAGAGGCCAGGAAACCTATCTTAAGAGTCATATTACATTTTACACCTGAAACTAATACAGAATATTGAGTATAAACTGTAATTGAAAATTTTAAAAAGTCATATTTGACCAGGAAGCACGCTTTTAAAATTTCTAAGGCCTTGGTTCCTCTGCTGAGCAGGCCAGGCTTCTGTAGGATGCTCATTCCATGAGCCTAGGTTGACTAATCCTCCACATCCCATGAGCTGTTCCTTCTCAGTCGTACTTACCACACAGATCGAATACTTCTCTAAAAAAATTAGTTATGCAAGCAGCACTCTGCCTAGGAAAAGCAAAGGAAAACTGAGACCACAGTGTCCAATCCAAACTGCCCTGTTCTTTGCAGCCATAGCATTAGTGCCACCCCACCGTGGCCACCTAGTAAACCTCTACTTGTTCTTTTTCTAAAATTTATCTTTATTGTTGAAAATATTACAGATGTCCCCATTGTATTTTCCCTCAATTGATTCCCTCTAACCCACACCGACCCCACCCGGGCCTTGGGACCCTTCAGTCCCCAGGCCAACGCTCTATCCACTGAGCCAAACTGGCTAGAGCTCTACTTGTTCTTTGAAGCTTATCTCAAGCAGAGCCTTCTCTGCCATGCTTCTCTGATTCCCTCAAGGCTGGAAGTTTCTGCATCTGCAGTGCCATGAGTTCTCTGCAAACCCTTACTGTAGGGCAGCCCTGAATCTTATTGCATGGAAACTGTTTACTTGCTTGACACCCCCATTAAACTAGGCACTCCCCAAGAACGACCTATTTTATTGTTTATTAATCCCCAGCACTAAGTATAATCTCTGCCTTGTAGCTGTCTCAGTATACTTTTCTTGAATGAATGAATAAATAAAAAGTGGAATTGAGAATACCAACCATCAGAATTGGAGAACTGTTAAAACGATTCCTGCCGAAACTGGTTTGGCTCAGTGGATAGAGCGTCGGCCTGCGGACTGAAGGGTCCCAGGTTGGATTCCGGTCAAGGGCATGTACCTGGATTGCGGGCACATCCCCAGTAGGAGATGTGCAGGAGGCAGCTGATCGATGTTTCTCTCTCATCGATGTTTCTAACTCTCTAACTCTCTCCCTTCTTCTCTGTAAAAAATCAATAAAATATATATTTTTTTTAAAAAAAAACAATCCCTTACTTTTTCGTGTTCTTTATTCTTGTTTGTGCCTCTGCTTTTGGTATCGCGGCCTCTCTAGCATTTTTTAAGACAACAGCCGTTTTATAATGCTCACAATTTTGTGGATCAGGAAATCAGGCAGGGCACACTGGGGATGGTTCATCTCTGCTCCAGGATGCCTAGGGCCTCAGCTGGAGTGTATCTAGCAACTGGGCATGGCCCAGATGGCTCACCTGGAGCCATACATCCGGAGTGTCAGTTCCGGGTGTCAGTTGGGTTCCTCAATTCTTCTCCAGGTCACGTCTCCTGTGTTCATAATGGCTTATTCCCTCACATGTCAGGTGCCTGGCCTGTGAAAGCTGGAACATGTGGGACTGGCCGGGCCTCCCTCACAGCCTGGTGGTCTCAGTGTAGTCAGATTGCTTACTGGACACAGATATACAGGGTGTCCCCCAAAAATGTATACGTAAGTTAATAGCTGACAGCTCATTTTGAAAATGAAATGTATTTTAGTAAACACTGCCTTTAAAATTATTCAAAGTGTGTGTATTCATTTTGGGAGGACACCCGATATAATCCGAGTGTTTCACTTTTTTTTTCATGTAAACACATGAATCTAAAAAGGAAAAAGTGTGGTGAGCAACATTCCATCAGTTAAAGAAAAAAACTTTCAAAGCCAGTTTATTCACTGTTGTGAAGCTCATCCAGAACATCACCTTACAATGGATGATGCTAAACATCCTGTAAGTCCTATGCACTACTTGGCATCTGAGTGATCCCCCTTTCTTTTTGGTCTCTTGAGTTTTTTAGTAGCTAGAAAGAAACAGATTTCTGCAGGTGCTTTCAGAAACAAATTTGCCATAGGTTAAGTTTATTCCATGATGCCTCAATGTATGTGCTTGAGAACAACATTTATGTACATCAAATTGAGAAAAGAGCAGAAATTTTCTAAAATCTACATGCTAAGAACATTCTACTTTTCTCTAGTGATTACTTTAATAAAGCAACTTAGAATCTATGGTATCAGCGGATGAGTTGTCCTCTGTCCAATAAAACCATTGCATGAAACCACGCTTTAAATATTATCTTTGCTACTTTTAACTCGCAATTTCCATGTGAATGTGCACTGTGAAATGCTTTACATGCATAAACTAATACCCACAAAATCCCACAACACAGTAATATGAAAGCCCCGCAGGGAAGCTCTCCACAGGGAACCCAGTGGACCTCATCACAGGAGGATTTTCCTTTCTCCTGGGAAAAAGATGGAATGAACATGCTGTTTGCTGTTGTCTATTTTTGAAGCAAGGTATGCCAATGTCAGAGTGCCCTTCCCCAGAAGTGGAGGAGTCTGTAACATCTGCAAAGTCTGCTTAGTGCTCTTTTAGGTAAAAAATCATGCTTTGCTGGCATTTTATGTTTCTATAAAAGAACAGGAAAAACTTTGCCCCTCGGAGTCCTCGATGAGGTAAGAAGGCTGTGATTAGGTAGCAGCTGTGATTAGGTGTCTGCAGAGGAGAAAGAAATGAACAGGGTTAGAAAAATACACATTCCCTACTGGTACCCTTCCAGGGCCTTGACTGAAGGCCAGACAGTCAGAGAGTGAGCCAAGCTAGTTCTGTGGCTCAGAATAATTGGATAATTGATTGTAATTAAGTAGTAATTAATAATGACTTGAATAATTAAAGATTTCCTACCTTCAGGCTATGGCTGGATGGGGTGCTGTGCTGAGCCGTAATGGAACTTGAGGGATAAGAGAAAACAGTAATACTTAGCCTGTCTTTATTAAAATTTTTGATATTTTGCTCATTATAGATTTTAACATGATTTTTAAAAAATAGCCCATTAAAATATTACTGATCTTGATTACTGAGACTTTTGGTGTCTCCTTAAATTTGGCACCTTTCGCAAGTGCCTTATTCACCTCCCCCCAGTGCAGGTCTTGAGCCCAGAAGCAATGTGATGGGTATTTGGATATTATTGCTTGGCCTGCCCTTTAAAAGGAACAAAGGGACAGCCAAATACTTGGGCTGCTCTCTCACTCTTCATATCCTCAAATTTCCAAATCACTGATATCCAATGACAGTCTGCTCCAGAGTTGAGAGACAGCCCCGTCTTGTGTGTACCATTATCACCCCAATCTATGGACGAGAGTCAGGTTCAGTATGCATGACACATATGCCTGAGAAGGGGGCAAGAGAGACCCTGAAGGCAGCCTGGCTGGGCTCCATAGATTGTGATCTCAGCCACGGGGCTGTAAGAAATTGCCCACTTGCTGTGTATCCCACCGTCCCGCATTGAAAAAGGTAAACCATGTATTT